GGTTAATTAAAATAAAATAAAAATTATAAAAATTACTTAATTACATTACTGTCCTTATTAAATTATTTATATATAATAAAAGTTAATTTATTAATTAAAAAAGTTTGTGGTTATTGAGTTGTTCTCGCGTTTTCGTAAATCACAGGGGTTCTCGTTTGAACCTCCACCTATATATATATATATACACACACACACACATACATACATACACACGCACATAGACAAGAAGAAGAGTTAAGGTGAGAAATAGAAGAAACGTTTGAAACCTTGATCACCTTTAATCTCAAACACACCCATGAATCGTGCTTGATACGGGGATTGAGACCGGACATCTCATCCTTGTATGCATCCAAAGATGAAGACCCTTCTCACGTTTCTAACCTTAAATCTTTCTCCTTACCGGAACCCAACCCCATATAATATATATGGATGTATGTAAAACAAAATGACATAATATGATAATATCAAGGTTCTTATACAAAGCCAATAGCTCAACCGGCAATTAAGATTTATGCCTTTCACTTTCAGGATCCTACTTAGAGGTTGAGACCTGCAAGGAATTTCTTGACTGTTACCCTGAGATTAATAGAAGCATGCGTGTGCGTAATGTTTAAAAAAAGGTTTTTACATAAGAATATGGACCACTCACAATATATATCGCAAAAGGAAGAAACTGAAAATCGAAATAATAGAAACATTTGGCAAGGAATTGCGTCTCAGATTTCACGTGTGCAACAGTTGATTCACCGTTTAAACCGAAACCTCCGATTCACCGTCGACAGTGTGGCTCGACGGAGTTCCTCAATCCCTACCATTGAGCACGTAAAAACGAATCTTTCAGTTATACTCCGATCACTCGCCACCGAATTAGCCGTCGTGCTCCGCCACCTACATTTACCGGACTCGGAAAACTCACACACTATCACCTCTTCAACAAGCCACGGTTTGTAAATGTAAGCTACGTTTCCTGCTATACGAACTTCGATCGAAGAAATTTCCAAATCATCTCCCTTCAATTTCGCAACCAGATCCGCCGGCATCTCTGCAATTTCAACGAACTCAAATGATTGCCAATTCACTTCCCACAGCTTAATGCCGATGAAATCGTTGCAATCATCTAACATCCCGATCAGAATCAATCTGTTGTTGGAGAATCCGATACTGGAATGAAAAACTAGATGATCAGGATGTAAATCATACGGACCGTACCAGGTATTCGTCACAGGATCGAACGTATGCAATACGCCAGAGTTTTTCTCCATGACGAAGAGACGACGGTCGTCGGAGGCTATTGAGTGGAACGTTGAAGATGCAGACTCTTTGAAAAACTCCGGCATAGGCTCCAGTTTGGTCCATTTCTGTGATTCAATGTCGTAGATCTCGACGGCTAGTGGATCCTGCTCGAAATCGCAAGCACCGCCAGCAACGACAACGTGCTTGCCAACGACGGCAACGATAGGGTCAATCCGCCATACTCGCGGCGCCACCGTGTGGTGCCACGTCAGGTGGAGCGGATCGAACGAGAAAGAAAGCTTGGACGGTGACAACATGTAGAGAAGATTTAACTGCGATGATCGGAGAGGGGATACATAATCGATTGACGGTTGATGAATCTCGATCCACAAGTTTGACGCCGGATCGTAGGCCTCCGTCGTCGTCAAGTACGGCGACCTTGAGTACTGAGTATGGAGTATTAACCATGGTTTGGATTTTTGGTATTTGAGAAGGATGAATGAGATGACTTTGTACCAGGTTTTGGATACGAGTGATGCCTGAACTAAGTGGATGAGCGGCAGGTGGGAGAGGATGGCTTCAAGTACGTCGCTGTGGAAGGGTGCTGCTACGGCGGCGATCTGCGATTGGTCACCGGAAGTTGGCATTTTGCTATTGATCATCCAATATTAGATGGGGTGACCCTCTCTGTGTCATCTCCGGCCAAAATCCCAATTTCACGAAAAAAAAATCATCTGTATGTAGAATGAAATTGACAAACCATCAACCTTTTCAAGTAAAAAAAGGAATATTCTAAAAAAATTCAATAGACTTTGGTGTTTGGAATGATTAAGTATTTTGATAATATTTTGGAACAAATAAGTCCTTGGACATTCCAAAACATGTTAAATAACTTCTTGGACAATTTTTTGGAACAAATAAGTCCTTGAACAATTTAAAAAATGTTAAATAACTCATTGGACAATTTTTGGAACAAATAAGTTCTTGGACAATCCAAAACATGTTAAATAACTTCTTGGATTTTTCTAAAACTTGTTGGATATATTTTTATGACTTGTACAACTAGTTAAAATGGTAAAATAGTGAGAAAAGTCCGAAAAAAACCCCAATGAACATTCATATTTTAAACGATTAAGTCCATAAATATTTTTTGAACCAAAAAGCATTTCGATCTATAAAATTAAACAAATATTACAAAAAAAATACTTACATTTACAAAAAAATAATTATATTTAATTTTTTTGATAAATTTATTTTAATTAAAATTAAAATATATTCTGTCAGTGATCTTTCAAACAAAAAAATTTTAAAAATTTAAAAATTTAAAAAGAATTATTATTAAATTTATTTTAATTAAAAATAAAATATATCATGTATGTGATTTTTTTAAATTAAAGAAAAAAATTTAAAAAGATTACTGATAAAATTTATTTTAATTAAAAATAATATATTTTTATTTTTAATTAAAATAAATTTCATCAGTAATCATTTTTTGTTCAAAAAATGTTTAGGGACTTAATCGTTCAAAATATGAATGTTCATTGGTTTTTTCCGGACTGTTTCACTATTTTACCACATTAACTAGTTGTACAAGTAATAAGAATGTATCCAACAGGTTTTATAAAAATCCAAGGAGTTATTTAACATGTTTTGGATTGTCCAATGACTTATTTGTTCCAAAAAATTGTCCAATGAGTTATTTAACATGTTTTAAATTGTCCAAGGAGTTATTAAACATGTTTTGGAATGTCTAAGGACTTATTTGTTCCAAAAAATTGTCCAAGGAGTTATTTAACATGTTTTGGAATGTCCAAGAACTTATTTGTTCCAAAAAATTGTCCAAGAACTTAATTATTTCAAACACTAAAGTTTATTGGATTTTTTTAGACTTTTCCCTAAAAAGAATTGCTTCTATCTCCAATGATTTTTTTAATTTAAAGATTAAATAATTAATTATCTATACTATATATAAAACATTTGAAAAAAAACTGTTAAAAAATATTTTTTACACATGAAGTATTTCTTATTGATGCATATTACTTAAAGTTCAAGATTACAAGTAAATTGTGCGTAAGTACAACTTATTAAATTCCGTGTTTGAATTTGTGTAACTAATTGTAGATAAATATAATCAAATACAAGATAAAATTATTATTTTAAATATAAAATATAATTAGGATAATTATTGAGTTTTAACAGAATATTTAGTTATCATTTTCATAAAAATTATATTATGAAACCAAAACTAAATTATTTCGACATTAAACCTAAACTAAATTATAATTAAAATTTTGAATTAAAGAAGTTACAAAAAAATTGAGAACTTTTATATATATTTTAATTTTTATGATATTTTTAATTTATATTTATGAAGAAAAAATTATTATTTGCTCAAAATCAAATAAATTCATATTATAACATCAATAAAGACCAAAAAAGGTGAAATGAAACATTGAAATTGAGATATATATTCTACTGCATTGCGCAAGTACCATTCTAGTATTATTAAACTACTAAATATAATTCATTAAATATATTTTTTAATTATTTATATTTTAAGGCTAAAAATCATTTCTTTATCATAAGTAATTATTTTTGAATAAATCTTTAAATCTTGAAAAAAAAAATTATCCTCTTTTTTAACACTTCTCCAAAACTAAAAAAATATAGAAAATAGAGATTTTGAGTCAATATTTAATACAACAGCTATGTTAAAACCATCTCCAAAATGGAGAAATATGAGAGAAAAAGTTTTTTCTTTAACTATAGAGAACACATCAAAACTGATTATCAAATTAGACCACCAATAAGCAACTTTGAAAATAAATATTTAGAGTGATAAATAATATTTTAACAGATAAATAAAATATTTTAATCAATGTTGGATTCTTTAAAATATGAAATCTGTTGGAGATGATTTTTTTTTTTTTGAAGATTCTAACATTTAGTTCTCTATTTTGAAGAAATTTTAGAAAATCTGTTGAAGATGCTTTTACGTTCTTCATTTTGTACAAGATTTTGGAGAATCTATTGAAGCAAAAAAATCCTCAAAATCTATGTATTAAATAATCTGTTGGAGATGTTATAATGGAGGTTTGTAATTTCGTTGAACTCTCCACTAACTACCTAACATCTCATTTGATAACTGTATTTTGATTTATTTTTCTGATTAGAGTCCATATGGTATGTTTATTAGGATTTGGTCCTTATGACATTCAATTTGTTTTGGTCGTAGTCCCTTTAATTAATGTTGTAAAAATAAATCCGTTAAATCAAGGGTCGTTTTATTCTTTTTGCCTATTTTTTTTTTCTTTTTCCAATAAAAAATAAAAACAATATTTATATTTTATGCAAATCAAATGCAACATTTTCAAATGTTGCAAACAATACAACTCAATAAAATTTAATTTTAACTACAAATCTTTCCACTTTTAAGAAGTATTTTTCATTTTTAATATTTTGAAAATGCAACCGTCTTATCCTCCAACTGCAATTGTCTTATCCTCAACCATTGATTGTTTAATTATGTGGTGTAGATGAAGTTGCATTGGTTGTAACTTTTAAAGTTGCTCACAACTCTTCTTAAACTTCTCATGATAACTTTTCTTCTCACATGATCCTTCGCTTATATATATAGGACATGTTCAAACAAAAACGCTAACTATTTAAGAAAAGAAGAAAAAAATATTGTTAATGTACAAAATCATATATGATTCACGAACAAAATCATGCATGATTCACGAACAAAATCAAGCATGATTCACGAACAAAATCATGCATGATTCACACATAGACACACACACACACACACACACACACATATATATATATATAATGTACAAAATTATACAGGTCAAAAGCGTTCGCTTCCATTTTTTTGATGATAATGTAAAATCACATGTGATTTTGTACATTGATGACCAATTTTTTGTTTTTTAAATAGTATGTATGTATGTATGTATGTATGTATGTATGTATGTCGGTAAGCAAATGATAACCGCAAAAATGTTGAGAACCGTGGGGATTAATTTCAATCGTTATAGGATTTTAATTAAATGCTATTATAAACAGTAGCATTTTTTAAAATTTATAAAAACTTTGTGTAATCTCATGTCTAATTTGGAAGTTTATGGACAAACAGGTAAATTGTAGCATCTCTCCAAGACTCATATTTCTCTCTCTGCAAACATGATGAAAGAACCGGTGACGAATTTGGAGCAGGAGCCGGCAACGGCAATAACTACACAGCCCACCGCCAGTGGCGTTTGTCGACCCAACAGAACTGATCAAGTGGTCGTTCTACGAGCTCTCACCGCTCAGTTCATTATCACCCTTCTCTTCCTTTCTTACATCAATAATTTTATATACGACTTTCAAAAATGGTCGTACTGTCACATCACCAACTACTTTATAATTTGTGTTTACATATTTTTAATAACTTATAATAGCATAAAAATTACCAAATATGATTTATTTATTTCGTTAAAATAGATATAAATTATAATACAAATAATTATATTAATAATTAACTAATTATAAAATATACAACGTAATTTTATTGATATTCGTGTAAGTTTATATGTTTGTATTTTAATGCATATTTACTTAAATTAATAATTTAAATAAAAAAAACATTCGATAAAAAATACATCTATTTAAAATAAATTGTGGATAATTTTTTTTAACAAACATATTTAAAAAAAGAATAAATAAAATATTAAATTAAAATAATAATAATTTGATATATTTGGCATCGCAAACCAACTTACTAAAAATAGCAAGTGTCGGGCTTCTTGCTAATGAGGCGACACCCATTTAGTTGTTTGCAAAGGCCACTTTCAATGCCGCCGAGGTAGATGTTGTGTATTGATTATTTTGTTAGTACAGTTATAACATTTTTAATAATTTTTTTTATTAACTTGGATATCCAACACGTTATACGTGTCGATTAATCTCAAGACGACCACTTGCTTTGCAGATAGCCTGAAGTCACCGCATTTGAACCTCCGTGGCCACAAGGAGATTTTTATTTCTTTTTGAATTTGAACCTGGGATCTCCTGATACTTTTGATATTTGGAGTCAAGCTCAAACCAATCAAACATCACCCTTGTGGTTAATTCTTTAAAATTTCTTCAAAAAGGAAAACCAAAAGTCAAAATTTTCAAAAAAAATTACATTCATCTTCAATAGATTCCCAATTTTAAAGAATTCAACATTGATTATAATATTAAAATATTTAATTTATCTATTAAAATATTTTTTTTTCTTTAAATGTTTATAAATTTCATACTTGTGGTCTCGTTTGGTAATCAATTTTAGGGTCTTCATATTTGGAGAATTTTTTTTCCCTCTCCTACTTTTTTTCATTGTGAAGATAGTTTTGAAAAAAATATTAAAGTAAAATAATGATTCAAAATTTTTAATTTTTTTTTAAAAAAAAACTGTTAGGAAATGTTTTAAATGGTACAAAACTCTTTTTTGAAGCAAGATAAACGGCAAAGTTTCAAATTTCATAGTTTTGCTTAAATAGCATTTCATGCCCTCTGTCATTGGGTTTCATACGAATCAACCCTTGAACCACAGTTTTAAGGTTTAACATATCTGGTCCTTTTTTGTTTTCCATTTACGCATTGACCACCAAATTTTGAGTGTTACACAAAAAATATATTTACGAGTCATTTACCAAACATTTGTCCAATAAACGTTTACCAAGTCACATTATCTTACTAGATAAATATAGAAAGAACCAAGAATCTTATCTTGTAAGAGTGATGACAAGAACCGAGAGTCTTTATCCGGTAAGTGAAGCTAACGACTCTTACCCGGTTAACGCTTATCAGTTAAAATGTCGCATATGATGCCGTTTTAATTGACTAAACTCTTCCCTAATAAAGTAGTGACAATGTTAAATCTTATTAGTAATTGCTTATCAGATAAGTATTTAATTAAACGGCTTCTTAGACGTAAATGAAATATAATTCTTAAAATTAAAAAGCAATCAAATAACCATTGAGTTATAGGATTTTAATAAACAAAATCCGTGTTCAGGTATCGAATGAAAATACCTAGGTCCCATTTGGTTTGTTAGGTTTGAAATGAATTTGGAGGGATTTGGAATTGATCCAATTCAATCCCATATTTGGTTTGAGGGGATTTCATGATTTGAAATCTTGAGATTTTATTGAAAGCCCACAAACAGAGGATTTTGAAATCCAACGATGGTGATTGGTATTTCATGAGATTTCGTATGATTTATATGTAATAATATTTTAAAATATGTTTAAAACATTTGTTTTATAATAATCTATTAATAAAAAAAATACTTTAATAGTTTCTATAATTTGTTTTTATAAATAATGGAATTTACTTCCATCTCAAATCCTACACACCAGAGTTCCAAATCCTCCCTAAAAACCATTTCATCAAACCAAACGCTCTTCTAAACAACATGTCAACGTTGCTATCGTTGAATATTTCCCGACTGCATAAATGTACATCAACTTGTATTGATTAAAACATACATAAATGATCAAATACAATAACATAAATGCTTCAACTCGGCCTCTCTACATGCCAGAAAGATGTTGCTATTTGAACCCCCCTTTTTAGGTCAAATCAAAGCTTCGAAAATATAAAGATTTAATGTTTTAGAAATTTATAAGAGGGTTCAAATAGCATATCGTGGGGTTCATTTAAAATCATCCTACTAGAATTGCTTTTGATATTTGTTAAAGATAATAAACAACATTGAATTGTGTTTCGTGATCAATCTTCAACTGCTGGCCTGGCCTGTACACAACATTCTATAACTCCATTATCGTTCAAATCTCCGACAAGCGGGTTGCGGTTTTTTTCTCCTGCGAGATGAATGGTATCGGGGAATTCTTCAACGAGTTGATAGTTCATGAATGCTCCCAACGCCCCGAGGAATCCCTCGTGTCTCAGAAACATTGCTTTCGCCTCACCTTTGGACCTGAAAAGATAAGTGGACGTAGCGACAGTTGTATACAAGTACGGAAATATGAAAGACTAGAGGAAAATAGAGACCTCTACGAAACATGGGTGCATAATTGATGGTTGTCCTTTCTTTACTTGTATGGATTCTTACTTTACTAACCTTCTACAAACTACTCCAAGAATCTAACATTTTAGACTATTTTGGGGCCCGTTTACCAAACACTTACACGGTAAGTTTACCAGTAAAATTAAATACCATCACTTTCTTACCCGATAAGATTTTAGTCCACCAAAATGACATTGAATACAACAATTTACCTGGTAAGTGCTAAACGTGGTAAAGAGTCATCGTCTTCACTTACCAGATAAGAATCTCGGTCCTTGTCTCGCTCTTACCGGATAAGATTCTTGGTCCTTGTCATATCCATCTGGTAAGGTAATGTGACTTAGTAAACACTTACCCGGGTAAGTGTTTGGTAAACAGCCCCTTAAAGTTTTTATATGGGCAGACTGTTTTACACCAGAGACATTGTTCAACGCAAGAGGCAGGTTAGAGAAAGGTCATCGAATTAAAAATAAAAATTATAAAATTATGCTCCTAAACGAAAACTCATTTAAGGTCATATAACCAAAAGGAGCATTGGTCTCTTATGTAAGGATCAAGGTGCTAGGACTTAAACGAACATTGTATTAGTAATAGTGATTAAAGAACGTATTGGGTAAATAGCAATGCTATAGATTTTGTCTAATTGTCGAAAGCATACCTTACTTACCAAATAATATTAATGGGCAAATTGCATGAAAAAGTAACGTACTTTAACTTGATTCCTATTTGGGTACCGTACTTTCAAAACTTCCATTTTGGTACGTAAGATGTAAAGTTTTAAATATTTAAATACCCGGGTAACCAGTTGAAGCATTAACCGGTTACCATGCTGATGTGACGAATGATGGGATGAAATTGGGTTGAATAGCAACTAATACCGAGTTGGATACCACATCACTTGACACATCAGCATGGTAACCGGTTAATGCTTCAACCGGTTACCCGTGTACTTAAATGTTTAAAATGTTACATCTTAGGTACCAAAATGGAAGTTTTGAAAGTACGTTACCTAATATAGGAATCAAATCAAAGTACGTTACTTTTTCATGCAAGTTGCCCTATATATATATATATATATATATATGTATCTCGGTTTTTTGTGCAAAAAAATACCTTTAATTATTAATTTCATATTAACACATTATATGAAACATGTTTGGGTAAAGGAAAATCTGCATATTTGTCCAAATTTGCATCCCATCTAAATAATCTGCATGTATGTATGCTATTTTAGATGTGGATATGGCCATAACCATATCCGCATTCATTTATGATAGAAACGAGCATATAGACCATTTAATTGGATACAAATTCACACAAATATGCAGGTTTTCCAATATCCACTTGCAATCCTACCTTGTTCATTTTGGTAAATTACCTTAAATAAGTTTTCAACTAGAAGCACAACCTTTTAGGAACCTTAAATATTTTGAGAACCCATAAACCACCTATTGTATGTAGTATTCATGATGAATAACCATGAATGATAATGAATATCATTCATCATGAATTTCTGTCATGACGTTCATCATGAATATTACACAAAATAGGTAGTTCATGGGTTCTCAAAATACTCAAGGTTCCCAAATGAACCTGCCTATATATATACACACTAATATATAAAGTCATAACCTTCAAATGACATCCCTGTGGGATTAAACACCTTGCCTTTTGTGTAAAATAGTCTGCTCGAGTAAAATCTTGAAATCACACTAGAAGGCTCGTAAAAACGATTTTCATAAGAGATCATTTTGTTAAATAAACATCAAGGGGACAAGACACCAATATTTGGTCATTAGTTTCCTCATGTAGAATAAAAAGCCTATCGTTGGATAATAAAGCGTTAGAATTGATGCCTGTGAGCATGCATAGCAATAGCATGAGATAGAAAATTTTGTATATTTAGGTGTATAACCTTAAATAAGATCTTAACTAAATCCATGAGTATGAAGCCATTTTTTCTTGAATTGATCGGGAGGTCATAGATTTAACTGAAATCTCATTCAAGGTTATATACCTAAAAGACCCTAGAAAAATTATTATGTCCTATAATTACCAGAAATCAACCGCCACAGATATTGTGTCCATGGTGTAAGCATGACCACGTATGAAAAATCCCCCAAAGAATATTTTCTTGAGACCAAATCGAAGTGCATTCAAGTACGCAATCTGAAAAAGAAAAGTACGCAATCTGAAAAGAGCGCAAGATATCAATCACACATTTTAATTCATGGGCATGCACTCTGTTTTGAATATTGGTTGGATAGAGCAAAAAGAGACATCATTGACTGAAAATAAACAGATTTGTGTTGAATGTGCAATGTGATTCATCATAAACGTTTCAGACTTGCCTTGACAGATTGCACACATGTAAATAACATCATGAGCAGGGATCCATTTAGTCATGGGATAGGGTGTGCCCGTACCCCTGCTCTACAGTAGTGATGCACCCAAATTGATGTGTGCTCCATTAACTGTTAACGAAAAGTGGTTGGAGCCTGATGGTAGTGCCATTCCATTTGGCATTCCGAGTTACTAGATCAAATCCATTTGGCCCTTTTTCTAATTTTTTGATAGTAACAACAATAGAAAAGAATGAAATACCACTTGGGCGTTGTAAAAAACCACTTGTATACCATTTCTAATTAAACTACACATTTTATAATTAATTTTTGTTTTACTTTATAGTATGTTAATTTTTTCGTGTCACCAATCGTAAATTTTTTGGATCCGCCTCAATTCTCTGATCATGAGATGGTGATTTCCATGTATGGGCATTTCCAAAAGGCATTGGTGAGGAACAAGATCATGTGGGTTATACATGTGACAGTGAGAAAATTTTGTCTAGTGAAATACTCGCAAAAGTCCAACTTATGAGAACTCACCTGTCCTATATTGTTGGAGATCATCCTTAAGAGTGACCTTGCCACATCTTCAGGCCTGTACTCTTCGAGTTCTCGGTTTTCTGAAACCGCCTTGCCAAAGCTAGATGCGATCGCTGTAGATGAAAGGCCGATCTGTTCCCAAGTCACAAGAAAGTGACTAAAAACAATAACTAACGGTACAAAAAATTAATATGGGAATTACAGAAACCATAATAGCTATGAAAAGACTGGGCCAACAGAGCATGCAATATGCACAAAACACAATGAGAGCTTATTCATATGTGAATCTCTTGTTTTACAAAACAAACCATCTAAGCATCTGTTAATCTGTGCTTCAATTTTGAACATGAATTGCCACCCTAGGGTATAATAATTAGGAGAGATCATGATATTGTGTTTCTTGTGTTCTCAAGTCCTCTTTTACGAAGGAAGGAAGAGGGAAAGGTAAAGAAAGAGAAGGAAAAATCTCGTGTTCTTGAGTTCTTTTAAGGAGAGAAAGGAAAGGGAAAGAAAATAATGTTGATTTTCCTCCCAAATGTCGGAGAAAAAGGGAAGGAAAGGATTTATAAGAATTAAAAATATTTATAAAGTTACAAATATACCCATCAATTGCATTGCACTATAAAATAAATAGGGGTATAATTGTAAAAATGATATCTTCCTTTCCTTTCTCTCCCACTCAAGAACATGAAAATTTATTTTCTTTCCTTCTCTTTCCTTCCTTTCCTTCACTCTCAAGAACACAAATAAAAGAAATCTTTCTTTTCCTTTCTTTTTCTTTTATTTTCCTTCACCTTTCTTTTTCTTTTCTTTTCTTTTCTTTTCTTTCCTTCCCTCCAAAGTTCAAGAACACAACAAAAAAGATTTTTCTTCTGAATGGACTTTAGATGATCATTTAGGTGTTTGATGGGCCTTCTTCTGTTTCTAGGTTGTCTTATACTTAGAAACTCGAAACTGAACTATATTCAACTTTATTCTCGGAAGAACAAAAAAAGTAGAAAATACATGATATATAATCAACACAGGTACCTTTAGGTAGTCCATTCCACCATAAATATCACCAACAAGCATATCAATCACTCTATTGTTTCCCTGATGACTCATCTCTAGCAAATCATCAAAACTGAAGCGAAAAATGCATTAAAAAGTTGTAAAAAAGGAGGATCTTTGGTGCCTTTGATCAGAATTTTAATGTAAAATACTGGGCTAACCTTTTGCACTTTGTTAAAAGCTTTCCCAAACCCCAAAACGTGCCCCCACCTACACTTGTTCCACTGACTCGTTCATACTTGCCATCTCCATCAACCTAAAAGCTCAGAATGAAACTACAACGATGTCAACAAGCATTGATTTCAGTCAATTCGACAAAACAACATAAAAAAAGAGGAAAAACTTAGAAGATAGCAGCAAAAAGAACAGCATTATCTGCTCATTATTTAACATTTATAGCAACTGTAAATGAAAATAGGATTAATGAAAAAAAGTGAATAACGAAATTACCTTGATCATGCTTACACCAGATCCAATATTAACAAGGAGATATGGATATAGATCATTGTGATCAATCTGCACATAGTTCCTCTGGCCATTCACGTACGTGAAAGCTTCAGATGGCACTGCCTATTCAGAAGGAAGTTAAGATCAATAATTAACCAGGAAAAAAGAAAAAGAAGGATATGGAAGGAGAATACTACAGAAGGAGATAAAAGTCTATCTTAATGGGATAGGAGCAAACACAGAAATAAATAAAAAGTGATACAAATTGGCTAATTGGACAAGATACAATAGTAACAAACTTGCTCATATTGGGTAGAATATATGTGCCTATTAATGGAAGTATCTCCTATAACATATAATTATAAAGTTATTTGTATCAAACAGGATCCAAACCAGTATATCCCATCCGAAGGTTGGGGGATGTATGCAGACCTGACCTCCACCCAAAAGGGTAAAGCCACTACTTCTGTGAAGACTCCCACCTTGTTAAAAATATGTGAGATACATACGATAATGAAGAACTTAAAAATAGGGTCCATGTCACTAAAAACAAGCCCTAACCTGCTTAAATGGCTTATATGTGTAATTGTTGATCCATGCAAAATCTACTGCATATCATGCTATTAACTTTTTTCAATACTAACAGTAAACAGTTTCTCATACGTGGATCCACAGACGCATTCCGATGAGAAGAAACGGTTCCATCCTTTTCAGTAAGAAATTGATAAACACAGCATATAAACTAGAGTAAAACTGTCTATCTCAAAGTGGATGATATTCAAATAAAGGAAACACCAATTGAAGCATAAACATAATGTGATTTCCTAAACAATACAATGCATAGGTGTAACTGTTGTAAGGAAAGATACATAGAAGGAAAGAGAATTAATGTCAAGTGGGAATACTGCAAGTATCATATGACTGGAATTATTATCATGTATTTGAAGGAAAAACAAGTATTCATGTGCCATGAGTGTTCATGTGGTGTCAGAATCCCACCTTTAACAGAAAATTTGCTCCAGATACAAGGCTGCTCATTTCTTCTACCTTGTCAAGACTAATACCAAGCTTTTCTTTAAATAGATCTGCAAATTTAAATGCCCCTCCACCTGTGGCCTTCACCATGGTTGAAAATGTCAGCTAATAGATTTGCATGACAAGGGAAATCAACAATAAATTTGGCAATTCAAAGATTTAATAATTATTTTCAATATAATATACATGTTTAGGTTGTACGCTATGTCCTTCAGAATTTGTATCAATTCATCATATATGTTAGGTAGATGCTATAGATTCTCAACTCCCATCCTTCATTTACAATTAAAATGCTGCTGATGCATTTCATTGCTGGAGCTCTCTTGGTGGGTATGCTAAGTAGATGAAGATGTAGATTCTTAGATTATGGTAAACATAACTTAAAGATCGTTTACCAACGCTAACCATGTAAGCGCTTATCGGATAAGAGACACCACCCTTACTTCCCTTAACGGTTAAGATTCTCCATCATCAAAATGGCATGGTAAGATAGTTGGCAAGTGCCTTACAGGAAAAAATAAAGATTGTTGGCAAGTGTCTGTTACCCGGTAAGAGCTAATTGGTAAGAGTCACCACCCTCACTTACCGGTATCGGTTCTCTTACTGGGTAGGTTTCTAGGTTTTTACCATGCTCACCTAGGGAAAGTGAGAGTGGTAACTCTTATCTGGTAAGTGTTGGTAAACGGTCCCTTACACTAAACCAAGGAGATCTGAAAAACAACCGCTAGTTGTTTCGAGATCATTACATAATACATATATGTGTATATGCATTCAGTAATTTGAGAAGATACTTGCAATAAATGCGGGTAGAGGATTACAATCCATAATTATGTCCAATGATGGTCTATCAGATCTTTGAATATGCTCTCCCTTTCATGCTCATCGTCACAAGTTCAAGTTTCATATGTTTCTACACTCACAGAAAACACACAGCAGAGCAATAGTTTTCATAGCTCAGGCAGATGTCATGGTTTTTAAGGCTTTAGCATGATAAAGGGAGAATAATATACCGACATAAGTGAAACTGGTTTTGTATAGGACTTATGATATGCAACGTTAACATGCAAGTGTCATGATGATATCTCCAGAGAAAGTTCTTCCAGGAAAATTGGAGGTAGGCATGAGAGTAAGTTGTCTTCTTTAATAGAAACCATCTATGTTTAGTGCATAAAATGTATGAACCTATGTGCTTACTTCTTTTCTGATAAAATATCAACTGTCTTATCAAAGGTTTTCACCTTAATGATATTCTTGTCGCTGGCTGGGAAACCACAATGCTGAAGACCTGAAGCAGCAAAGATCCACATTAGTAGTGTATTAGAAACATGTCCGCATAAGATATAAAACTTAAGCAGCAGTCAGATTACAATTTCCAGTGTTTAGAAATATTATTGCAATATAAAGTCAGCGGCCTCTCCACATAAAGCCAACTGTTTTCATACCGAGGCCTTCACACTGACAACTGCTTTACCACATCCTTGGTTCGGAGGGAAACCGTAGGGTCAAAGAATAAGTCTTCTGTTTCTTTCAGAGATGCTGACCCACAGCGAGACAGAAATGTTGCAACTTTTCTTTAAAATATTACTCTAAATGATGCATTATATACTGAATTATCTCCATTTCGTATACATGGCATAGCATCAGTAACCAAGTTGGTATATAAAATATAAGTAGATCAGTAGCATGACAGGAGCAAAACCAAAAGTGGATTATACATATTTTTTCAATTATGTCAAAAAAATGTTACACTGATCAAGTAGACCTTATCAAGGAAGAGGCTAAAGTTCAGCTCCTAAAAAAGTAAAACTTGATTGCCAAAATAGAAAATCAACTAAAAAAGGATTGTATACATGACCTAGAATGACCTATTAGACATGCTGCAGATGCTGATTCAAAGGACTAAGGTAGAAAGCTTCATATTGACAGAGTTGATTGATAAGCTAAAGCAACAACACAGCATATTAAACCCCTTTAACCATGCCAATGCATAAACAACAGGGTATTCATGTCCATTTTTAAGACATGTTATGGACGGGTACATTAATTGGTAGTGCCAATGTTCCCGAAGCATAATTTCAATAACCATTTGGAAATATGAAATGGAGATGCATACCTCTATAGTGAAGTTGCTTTGATGAAATAAAATCCAAACACTCATTGATCTTGCTTGTTTCAAACTTTAAAAAGTAGAGCCTTCCATTGAGAAGATGTCCATCTTTGCTGCTCCTGGACACTGCATGACTATCTCTTGAAGCATTAATTTGTGTTTTATCTATAGGCTGTTCTCTGCTAGTAGAGAAATACACCATCTTGATGAGGGAACCTGGCAAGAGCAAGACTTCGTGAATAAATTAATATAAACAACATATGATTGGAGTAATGTCATGGGAAGTTTGCATTAAACGCAACGCAAGACCGAGAAGATGATCAAGTTAGGTTTATCAGTCAAAAATAATTTTAGTTGATGGGTTCTAGAAAAATCTGGACAGTGCAAGAGGCATATTACATTGAACCCGCTATGCCTATAAAAGAAATATTGGGATTAAAATTTAACCATTCAAAGTAGGTTTGACTGAACCAAGCCTATGAGCATTTTGTTTTACCATTTGAATCAAGGCAGTCAGTTGTGTTGTCTCCTATTGTCCACTTTTTTCATGCTGAAACTATATGTTCGTCCCTTAATCTATTGACCTTGTTTCGTCCGTAAGCACATCAAGGGAACTATACATTACTGAATCCATGGGTTGCTTTCATCCCATTTAAATTAAATCAGAAGTATGACATATGGTTGAACTTCTTACTTGCAGTAAAAGATATTGTTATATGTATGGCACACCTACTAGTAAAGCAACGGTTAACCTACTACTTATTCACGTACCAAATGACAAGGAACCTTTTGCAACTTTAACTCCAGCATAATTTTTTTTTATTCACAGTGCTTGTTCAAATTTTAATGTGAGATGATCTACATGTAAATTAAGCATCCAAATTAGATGAAAAAATGTAAAAGCTAAATGCTTAGACATTGAGCGAGCAGTTTAGGCGTTAGCTGAGCATTTCGTTAGTATTTAAATTGAACAATTGAGCAACAGAGGCTTAATGCTTAAACAGCAATTAGATGTCTAGCTTACAGTTGGTGGTCGTCAGGTAAACATCAACTCCTTGAGTTGCAAAGCTTTCTACATAATTTTGTCCAAGAAAAATTGCTATAATGGGGAATTTTTATAAATTTACCGACCGTTAGCAATTTTTACAAAATATTTATGTATACAGATATCGATTTTGGTGCCTCTCATTAATTTTGTGTATTAAGCATGATTTTAGGTAGTTGATTATGTACTAATTTCGTTAGATTACGTGCGTTACATTCTTTTTTGGATGGAAGTAGTAGTGAACAACAATCGAAATACAACACTGACCAGCAGAAAAACTCGTTGAATGGAACACCAACAGATTCGAATAACGAATCAACAAACGATCTGACAAAATCATTCAACTAAAAAGGAAAATCGACAGAATTAGTTACCTCCGATATCAAGAGCCAAATGCGAAATTTCATCTACCGGTGAATGTACCAATCTCACCTCCTCAATTCTATCGCCCTCCATCGTTCTCACCCCCAAAAACACAAGAGTGGAAAATTAGGGGTTTGGGAAAATTAGGTGGCGTGATTGATCATGGGTTCAATCACGACACATATATATATGACATTTTTGACGAACAATATTGGTGAATTGGGAATTGATGAGAGAGAAACAAGAGTCTGCTAGTGAAATACATGCTTTAAATGCTGAAAATGGCATCCCAATTTTGACTTTTTTGAATTCCTAGTTTGACTTCTCTAAACGATGGCCTTATCTGCTCAGTAAGCACATCTATGAGCGTTAAGAAGGGTCTCACTCTTTCGCAGGCCCAGCAGAACAGAAAGAAAATTTATTTTAATTTTATATTTTAAAATTAAATGGAATAGATTTATATTTTATTAATAATATTAAAATAATATATAATTTATACTATATTATAAAACATTTGATAAAAACTCTTAAAAATTATTTTTTATGCATGAAGTACTGTACATTGATGTATATTACTTAAAATTTCAAATTACAAGTAAATTATGCACAAGTACAACTTATTAAAGCTCCATGTTTGAATTCGTGTAATTAACTGCGGATAAACATCACATTTTAAAATATAAAAAATCTAAAATATAATTAGGATAATTATCGAGTTCTAACAAAATAATTAATTATTATCTTTATAAGAAAATTATATTATTAAACCAAATATCTATCTATACTGTATTATAAAGCATTTGACAAAAACTCTTAAAAACTATTTTTTATGCATGAAGTGTTGTATATTGATACATATTATTTAAATTTTCATATTACAAGTAAATTATGCATAAATACAACTTATTAAAGTTTCATGTTTGAATATATGTAATTAACTGCATATAAACATAATCAAATAGAGAATAAACATCTCATTTTAAAATATAAAAAATCTAAAATATAATTAAGATAATTTATCGAGTTCTAACAAAATAATTAATTATTATCTTTATAATAAAATTATATTATTAAATCAAATATAAATTACTTTGTTAGTGAACCTAAATTAAATTATAATAAAAATTGAATTATGTGGACTTGGAAGCATCCATCCTTTGAAGAAAGTTAAATTACACAAAAAAAAAAAATTAAATAGTTAATTTAATATTAATATCGATATATTTTTGTCAAATTTTTATGATATATTCAAATTTATATTTTATTAAAAATAAAAACATCATTGTTTTTTTAAAATCACATACGACCATATTATAACATCGACTGAGATAAATAATAAAATGAAATATTAAAATCAAGATATATTTCGCTGCATTACATGAATATCCTTCTAGTTCTTTTTTAAGACACAAATGCCTTTTTCTTTTTAATTTTTATTTATTCAAATTATTTATTTATGCATTTTAAATCTTTACTTTATCATCATCAAAATATTACTTTTATACGATTATAATATTTTAATTAATTTATTAAATATTAAAAATAAAAA